GAAATTAAAAGACGCCTGCTTCTTGGGAGGAAAGCGATGACAAATCTTGACAGCATCTTAAAAAGCAGAGACATCACCTTGCCAACAAAAGTCCGAATAGTCAAAGCTATGGTTTTTCCTGTCGTGATGTGTATGGAAGTGAGAGCTGGACCATAAAGAAAGCAGACCGCCGAAGAATTGATGCCTTTGAATTGTGGTGCTGGAGGAGGCTCTTGAGAATCCCCTGGACTGCAAGGAGAACAAACCTATCCGTTCTAAAGGAAATCAACCCTGAGTGCTCACTGGAAGGACAGATCCTGAAGCTGAGGCTCCAATACTTTGGCCATCTAATGAGAAGAAAAGACTCCCTGGAAAAGACCCTGATGTTGGGGAAGTGTGATGGCAAGAGGAGAAGGGGACGACCGAGGATGAGATGGCTGAACAGTGTCTGCGAAGCAACCAATATGAATTTGACACAACTCCGGGAGGCAGTAGAAGATAGGAGGGCCTGGTGTGCTCTGGTCCATGGGGTCACGAAGAGTCGGACACGACTAAACGACGATCTATTTGTATTCCTGCGCTGAGCAGGGGAATTGGACTCAATGGCCTTCAACTTCATGATTCTATGCAGAGAAACACCTCCATGGAAGTCAAAACAAAACAAAAAAGCAACATGTGCAGCCCAGAGAACATAATGGGTTTCACTTCTGGTGTGTCACTTTTCCATCATCAGGATCCCCAACCCACCCTGTTTTTCATCATGTGTGAAGATTCAAAAACTATTATTCCCACCTCTAGTCTTAGGGTGTTCTGCATGGGAACTCTACCACCTCATTTTACAGCCTGCACAGACCTGGTCACTAATGTCTTATTGTGACTGCATCCTGCTTTGTCTAACATGAGGAAACCAGGCTGGTGAAACATTGCAACTTTCCCCTTGCCCCCCCACCCAGGGGGGCATGCCCTCCCTCTCCCCTTACCAGGTGCATGGTGTAAGACTTGATGGTGTCTTTCTGGGAGTCCCATTCAGTTGCCACTGCCAGGGCGAGGGGCTTGCTGGGCACTGTAAAGAGCCTGAGGTGTTTTCAGCTTCTAAGTTCTAAGTTAATTTCAAAGCCTCCTAGAGAGGAAAGGGTTTAAAAAGCCATGAAGCCTGAAACTGATGGGACACTTCAGATTTTTCTGCATATTATGGATGTTGCCCTTACTGGAGCTTAACCTCTTTATCAAGGAGAGACTTATGGAAGGATAATTTGGTTCTCAAAGACACCAAGCCACGGCACTACTGGAAAGTATGGCAAGAGAATTCAAACAGCCCTTTTCCTCTCCTAACATTTAAATAAAAGAAAAAGCTATCTCTGATCAACAGCCCCCTCACTTTCAATTCACACCATGACAGGAAAACAGACAAAGGCTTGTCAGAAGTATAGAACTTTCTCCCATAGGAAATGTGGCAATGCATGGATAAAAGCTTGGCTGAGATGCAGTGAAATGTCCCCTTTTCCAGGTTGGCTCCCATCTCTAGCACTGAGCAGAAGCCAGTATGATGCTGAAGGGAAATGACTTTTGATGCAGGAAATACGGATTCAGGCTCGGTTTCTACCAGCAAGCCCACCGTGGAGAAGCCACCACTTTCCTAATCTATCCTGCAGTAGGATGAAAAAGGATTCCAGATAAATCAGTCTCATGCATTTAGAGTCTATGCATAAATATGTTACCCACCTTCACCCCGGGAGATAGTAATATTCTTGTAAATTCTTTCTTTCTACAAAACAAAATAAAAATGCATATCAAGAACAAGCAATACATCCATATTTAACTGGCACAACTTGGACATCTGCAAGTTTGCTGAAGTCAATGAGGCTGGGCCTTTGGGGGGCACCCAAGGAACTGCTGGATAGCTCAGAGGTTTAGGCTTCTGGCTGTGGAGCGAGAGGTTGGGAGTTCGAATCCCGCACTGTGCCTCCTCGACTGTGGCTGGACACGATGATCCACAGGGTTCCTTCCAATTCTGCAGTTCTCAGATTATTATATTCATTTACATATGGCAACTAACACATCACAGTACATTTCCCCTCTTTCAAGATGCACTAACTACAGTCCCCATTCCACTACACCGTTTTTACACACTCTGAGGCTGGGTATTAGCAATCTAAATACTAACATTAATTAATTTATTTAAAATCTTGAAATAATCATCTGTGCAGTAACTTTATTGCAATCAACTATGAATCCACACTGCAAGTATTCCCGTCCTCCAGAACTGTTCATCTGGGTGATGGGCAAAAAAATTACAGAGGGCAAAAATCTGGCTCGGTATTTTAAGTCTTAAGGTAAAGGTTCCCCTTGACATTTAGTCCAGTCGTGTCTGACTCTAGGGCGCAGTGCTCATCCCCATTTCCAAGCCATAGAGCCAGCGTTTGTCCGATGAGAGTTTCCGTGGTCCCATGGCCAACGTGACTAGTCACAGGATGCCATTACCTTCCTACCAAGGTGGTACCTATTTATCTACTTGTATCTGCATGCTTTTGAACTGCTAGGTTGGCAGGAGATAGGATAAGCGGCGGGAGCTCACTTCATCGCGTGGATTCGATCTTACGACTACTGGTCTTCTGCAGAGGCTTCTGCGGGTTAACCCGCAGCGCCACACAATTAACCTCAATCGCAAACTTGTACATTTTATGAATCTACGTAAATAATAAATAAATTGACCCTAAACAAGGCTGTTCCTCCCTTGTGGAGTATGGATTTTCTTCAGAATGACCACTTTCTTATTTTATATATATATAATCAGTTTTGAATAGAGCTCCCCCTGTCTGCAGAAGAGAAGGAAATGAATGCATTTCAAAAGACTAATACTATACAGTAATAAAATTCTGTTTTGCTTTGTAGAGAGCAAAAGCTGAATTCAAAGGCCTGAAATTAACTTTGAATTTATAAGTCAGGTGAATGTGTCGTGTGTCAACAAATAAATACTTTTAATGCCCAATCCTAGAACAAAAACCCACAACCAACAAGAGAAAGAGAGAAATTCCTTTTATTTAAGAGTTACAAATCCAGCGGGTTTCACCCTCAGAGGGGAAGAAAAAAAATAAAACTAAACCTTTCCCAGGCGATCTTTGAACGCAGAGCTTTCCTCTGTGTTCAAAGATCGCCTGGGAAAGGTTTAGTTTTATTTTTTCTTCCCCTCTGAGGGTGAAACCCACTTTTTATTTCATAAAATGAAATATAATAATATAATTAATAATAACCCCAGTTATTATTTCCTCAGAATAACCGCTTCCTGCTCTTCTTTTTTTGCCCCTTCGTATTAATTAAACCCCATCCATGGGCGCCGCCATCTTGCCCCCCCCCCCCTCCGCGCGCAGCGCCAGTGGGCGTCACAAACCCCAGTCGCGCCCCATTTGCGTGTTCCTCCTCAGCGCCGCCTTTTGGGCTCCGCCGGCCAATAGAGAGCCGCGCGCCGCG